CTGACCCTGTGATGACCCACGCTGACCCCACGCTGACCCTGTGCTGACCCACGCTGACCCCATGCCCACCCCACACTGACCCTGTGATGGTCCACGCTGATCCCACGCCGACCCCGTGCTGAGCCATGGCCGCACTCACAGCCCCGGCCCCACTCACCAGCGTGTGCCGCTTCATGTGCTCCCGCCGCGTGAACTTCTTGCCGCAGATCTCGCAGGGGTAGGGCCGCTCCCCCGTGTGGGAGCGCATATGCCGCTTGAGGATGCACTGGTGCATGGCCGAGAAGCTGCAGTAGGGGCACTTGAACTTCTTCCTGATCACCGTGAACTCGTTGACTGAAAGACAGCAGACCCGCAAGTCAGCGTGCAGCCCGCCCGCCCCAACAAGCCCTGCTCTTGTTCAGACGGCCCCGCCGAGGCCCGCACGCCCAGGCCGGAGAGCCCACGCTCTGCCAAAGGTCAGAGGTCACTACTTCCAGCACGTCCCGGACACAGCCACTATCTTACACATCAGCCTCCGAGACACAGTGAGGTCCTCATACACAATCATAACAGAGAACAAAGCTGTAAAGACAAGTGAAGCCGGAGCTCGGTTCCCAGCCCATAGCTCTGCTCACGGCCACAGGCCATTGGTGCCCGGCAGTCGCAGGGCAGAGCCGCCCCCTCCAAACACCTGCAGGCCGGTGGTTTTGCAGTTTTAACGCCCAGAGGAAAGGTCTGCCTAAGCAGCTAGTGGACACAGCCAAGTGAGAGGCTTGGGTCAGCCCCAAACGTGCAACAGATCGCTGAGTGGCCTCTGCCTCGGGGTGTGGCTCATCCGGCCCGTTTTTCTGCCCACATTTCTGAGAGAGACGCCACGGGCCCCTGTGGGGTCATCCGTGTGGCCAGCTCGAGCTCACGGCGGGGGGCTGCGTTCCACACCCGAATGCGGCCACACCCTCAGAGGCATCTCGCTCCCCATGCTGGATGCTCTCCTGGTGGTAGTCAAGGGGGTTGGGATCCCATGCGTCAGCCCCACTGTGCAGGGTTCCACTGGGCACTGGGCAGCTTATCCCGAGTGGTGCCGTTGGCGACGGGCACCCATAGACACCACAGTCATCCCCTCTGAAACATGCAGAGCATCCACCCAGGAACCCCATTAACCTAAACGCCTGAAAGCAGTCATCCCAGACTTCACCGGGATTGCTGGGAGCATCCAGATCCTGGGATCTCACTTCCCACTGTGCAAGGAGCTTGGTGGTGGACACCTGTCTGAATGCAGTTTCCCAGGGCCCTCACACCACCCTACAACCTGGACGGCACCTGGACGGCTGCACATGGCACCAGGACCCCGAAGACAGACCAAGGTTCCCCACAGTCAAGAACACTGGCCAAGGCCAAAGGCAGGATGCTGGAATGAACCCCAGGAGGGGTGTGGACACCATCAGCCAGGTGGTCTTCCGCTGGGTCCTCAGACTCCTACCAAATGTTCAAGTGTGGCAGGCCCTGGCCACAGTCACCGCTGCCCCTGGAGGTGCCCAGAAGGAGGCAGATAAGAAAACAAATGCCCCAGAGTGACACAGCCCAAGACAGCGGGACCCAGGAAAGCGGAGGCAACTCTTGCTGGAGAGAAGCAGCCAGTCTGCTGGAAGGATGACCACCTCTGTCCCCACAGCCCTGGGCCTCCCACCATGTCACCCAGAAGCAGGGACCCTCACTGCCATCTCTGCTGGTCACACCCCAGCCACGGGCATGTCACCATGGAAACGATACCAATGGGGGCTGCAGAGCAGCCGAGCTGGTCCTCACCCCTGCACCTCTGCTCCTAACACACTGGTCCTCA